GATCTGGGTCAGTCCAAACCTGGGTCGGTCAGGCTTTGCAGGACCCTGCGAGATCCTGCAGGATCCTGCGCGCAGGCCCGGGCCAACGCACCCCTGGCTCTGCAAGATCCTGCGCTCTGACTGACCCCAGCCTGCATGGCCTCCTCCTCCTTCTCCTCCTCCTCCTCCTCCTCGTCCTCCTCCTCCTCCTCCTCCTCCTCCTCCTCCTCCTCCTCCTCCGTGAGCCCTCGACCCCACCGTTCTGCGGCCTCCCGCGAGAGCCGGATGGACCCGCGAGGGCCTGTGGGCCCCAGCCCGGGCGGACGACGCCCGCCGAGGCCCTCCCTGCATCGGAGTCCGAAGGCCTCCCCTCGCCGGTGCACGCCCCATGGGACGGACAGCGACAGGGGTGGGCTGGCGCACGGGGGGGAAGCATCGACCTGGAGTCGGCGATACATCTCGGCGGCGAGGGAGGAGGAGGAGGAGGAGGAGGAGGAGGAGGAGGAGAGGAGGAGGAGGAGGAGGAGGAGGAGGAGGAGGAGGAGGAGGAGGAGGAGGAGAGGAGGAGGAGGAGGAGGAGGGAGGAGGAGGAGGAGGAGGAGGAGGGAGGAGGAGGAGGAGGAGAGGAGGAGAGGTGAGGAGGAGGAGGAGGGAGGAGGAGGAGGAGGGAGGAGGAGGAGGAGGAGGGAGGAGGAGGAGGAGAGGATGAGGAGGAGGAGGAGGAGGAGGAGGAGGAGGAGGAGGAGGAGGAGGACGAGGAGGATGAGGAGGAGGAGGCGGAGGAGGAGGATGAGGAGGAGGAGGAGGCGGAGGAGGAGGAGGAGGAGGAGGAGGAGGATTAGTACCAACACGCGGCATGGGGGCGCGCAGTGTCCGACGCAGTGTCCGACGAGTGTCAAGCGAGCGTGCGACAGATGGCCAGAATTCGGCCTCCTGTATAAAGGACGTGCAGCACCGAGCGTGCGATGATATCAAGTGCAACGCGCAAGCATTCCGAACGCCTAATCATTGCTGCCAGCCGAAGCAGCGAGGGGGGGAACTCAGAAGGAGAAGGCTTTCTCGGAAGGCGGCGGGGCTTTTCGGAAGTCCTCTGGCCTTCTGAAAAGTTTTCTGTGTCCTCGGGGAAGCTGAGGAAACCTTTCAGAAGGCCGGGGGGCGTCCGAACCTTCTGAGAAGGCCCACCCCTTCTCACTTGCCTCCCAGGCTCGCCGCAGAACATCGCCGATAGATCGGCGATGGGCCCCCAATAGCGAATCCTTATGTTCATGGGCAGGTTGAGGCTATCAGGCCCCTGTCGGCGATCAATTGGCGATTGGGGGTCGATGCATCCCCCCTACGCCTGTCCCCCCCATGGTTGCACTTGGGTAGGCGGCCGTATGTGAGCTAGTGTACCCCTCAGCTGATCCAAATCCTGCGGGGCCCCTCCGGCACTGGCAGGGGGGCACAGCAGCTGCGAGCGGGCAGGAGCTGGATCAGGACCCCTGCTCGTCCAAGTCGACGGGCGGCGGGGAGCGGGGCCCGGATGCTGCCGCCCCAGCCTCTGTCTGGCATGCGCCCCCAAACCTTCGATGCCGGGTCTTGCAGTGCGTTGCCCCTCGAACTCTCAGCCCCTTCCCGAAAGGACGGTCTTGTCGTGCCAGACCGTCTCCTCCTCGCCCCGGGGCCCCCCACAGGTGGCCCCCAGAGGCCGCGCGTGGCGACACAACGCCGCCCCGACTGCGCCAGGACGGCAGAGATCTCGGCCTCACGCGACGCGCTCCAGGAGGGGGAGGGAGGAAGTGGTCGGCTGCACGTAAAGAGTGACCCCAGGCAAGAGTGACCCTTGGTGCGCGGCTTCTTGAGGGGCAGCGAGAGGGGGGGACGTGCATCGGGGGGGGACGCATCGACCTGGAGCCGGCGATACGTCGCCGAGACTTCGGCGAAGGGCCCCCGATGGTGAATCCGCACCTTCCTGGGCAGGTTGCGGCTATCGGGCGCCAGCCCGGCGATCCATGGGGCGATTGGGGGTCGAGGCGTCCACCCCTGTGCTTCAGCGGGGCCTGTCCCCCTGCAGGCCGATTTTGGAAGGAAAATCAAAAACACTCAAACAATGATCCAAAATGGTCAAAAATCTTCAAAAAGTCGTCCCCAGACTATTTATTGGAAATTTTTTGCACATTCCTCCTGTTAAAAAAAACAAATCCGACTTAACCCTGTGCCTGCCCCTCCCCCTACAGTCGGGGCGTTGACCCAAGGAACCCTTGATGAGGAACGAGGCCCCTCTTTCCCATCAGTGGAACTTCGAATTCCCCGGGAAAACCTAAGGACAACCTGAGGCACACCGTAAAGCAACTAAGGAGCACGGAGCCCCTCCCCAACGAAAAAGGGCTCCCTCTTCAGCGCCCCGGCTCTATCGTTGCCCCTGCCTTCTGGGGGGCGCTCAAAGGGGGGCCAATCTCAGGCGCGCAGGCCGCTGCCACGTCGCACCGCGCGCCGTGATCGGGGAGGGCCTGCGTGGGCCCGCAGTCAAAGGGGCCTACTCGGCGAAGGGCCACTCTGAAGGCGCCCTGGGACACACAACTAAATACACGCAAGTAAAAGGACCCCCATGTTTTCTCATATTTCCTGGGTTTTCGTCTTCCCCCCCACATTCCATTTTTTGTGTTATTGCATTTTCCTCGGGGTCGACGATTAATTGTGTCTGTGTCTGTGTGTTTTTTTCCCCTCCTGACACTCGGTGGCACGCAGTCAACAGTGGACTCTGCGCGGGCACCCCGCGCGCCTGCCCGCGCTCGCCCCTGGCCACAGTTCGGGGGCGCGCAGACATGCATTCGCGATCCATGGATCTGGCGCGCGGTCGCCAAGTCCATGGATCGCGGGAGGTGCCCTCCCGAAAACGAGGCCGGTGCCGCCTCGTTCGGCGGCGGAAATGCGCGATTTCCCACGGAAACGGGGCCCGTCGCTAATCCACGCCCCCTTGATCCATGCTAGCGATCGCCTGACCAGTGTAGGGGCGATTGCGACGGCAACGGCTGGGGAGCGCGAAGCCAAATATCCAGACCTCCAGCGCCCTGAGCCGGGGCACAAGAGGAGGGGGTCAGCTGTAAGCTGTGACGGGGGTCGACCAACCCTCTCTGGCTAGAGGGGTCGTGTGGAACAGACCCACGCCCCATCCTTCCACGCCTCTTCGTCATTGCTCTCGTTCTTCTGCTGCTCCTTCTCCTCATGATCATCCTCCTGCCTCTCCCAACTCCCGCTCACAATCTTTCTCACCCCCTAATCCTCCTCCACCTCATCCCCCTCCCCTCCCATTCCCCCGTGTCCTCCCACCTTCCACTCCCAATCCTTCTCCTCCCTTCATCCTCCACCTCCCCCTCCCCCTCCTCCTCTTCCTCCTCCCCCTCCTGCCTCCTTCTCCTCCTCCTCCTCCGCCTCCTCCTCCTCCTCCGCCTCCTCCTCCTCCTCCTCCTCCTCCTCCTCTTCCCACCGCCAACATGGGTGTGGGAGCTATGCCGTGGCTGGCCCGGGTTCGCGATATGGCCATCCTGGCTGAGTGGCCGACCCGCTGCAGCGCTGCCCCGGGACAGCCCTTCCCCCGACGAGCATCACCACGGCCAGCTCTTCGAGCCCCGGCCCCCGCAGGGCACTCCCCTGGGCCCTGGGGCAGCTCAAAGCACTGCCCCCCGGGGCGCACAGTGCGTGCACACGAGGAGGAGGAGGAGGAGGAGGAGGAGGAGGAGGAGGAGGAGGAGGAGGAGGAGGAGGAGGAAGGAGGAGGAGGAGGAGGAGGCGTTGGGGTCAAGAGCTTCCCTTTATTTTTCCTCCCAGTGGGGACCCGGCAGCAGAGGTCCCTGCAGCTCGACCTGGGGGCGGAGAGCTCCCCAGACTCTCGGCGGCCGGCCGGACGTCCTGTGCACGCCACGCCCCAGCCAAGAGTCAACAACCTTTCACGCCAAGACGATGGGCTTCACTCCAGGCGTTCTCTCGAGCAGTAGCCCGGGTCCAGATATACGAGCACTCCACGAGGGCAAGGGGCTCCAAAGAGAACGCCCAGGGTCGGGTCCAGACTCCCGACTTTCCTGAGCGGAGCCTGGGGCCCACGAGACTCTGCGCTTCCTCTGAACACTTCTGACGGGTGCATGGTGCAAACCCGACGCTCTGGGGGGCCCCTGAGAAGCCCCGGGCCCCTGGCGGCAGGGCCGGGCTCCGCGGCCGAGGCCGAGGCCTCGGAGCCAGCGCCGAGAGGCAGGGCGAGGCTCTCTGGGAGGGGCGACCCGTGCCGACGGTCGGCCACACGCAAGAATGAATGACCTTTGCTGAGCAGGGGCCGCCCGTCCCGGCATTTCTGTAGGCCTACCACGAGATGTTCTTAGAACCCAGACATGTTCTAAGAACCAGAGCAGTGCTCTTATAACGTTCATCCGGTGGAGGAAAACTGGACAGCCCCAGCCAGACATCTTCTAAGAACATCTCGTGCAGACCACAGGAGGTTCTCAGAACAGTCTTTGGTGGACCTACAGGCGAGCCAGGACGCTTCGCCACTGCTTGACCTTGGTGCGCGGCTCTTTTTTGGAGGGCCCGGGGGGGGCCCAAAAGCACGAGCGCGCAAGACGCTACTGCCGCCTCACGCTCGGCGATCGGGGGACGCCGGCGGGCATCCGCACCAGAGGTCACTCCGGCGCGATAAAGGCCACTCTTGCGTCTGGTCGGCCGCCAGGCTGCGCTCGTGGCCGGCCCAGAGAGCCCTTCGGGCAGCACGGGAGGTCCTCTCCTGCTTGCACGGCTGCGGCACCAGGCGCTCCGGCCCAGGCGGAGGACGGGGCAGGACGTGACTCGAGGCCTCCTAGATGGGGTCCGAGAAGATGGGATCGAAGGATCGCGCCGCATCGCCAATGCATCGGTGATGTATCGGCGATGCATCGGCGATGCATCGGCGCTGTCGGCGTCGGGAAACACGGGCTCCACATCGAGCCGCATGGTCGATGCATCGGCGATGCGGCGCGATCCTCCGACCCCGTCTGCTCGGACCCCATCCAGGAGACCTCGAGTGATGAGAGGCGGTGGCGGCTCGCGGTGGAGGAGGGTGAGGGTGAGGGTGAGGGTGAGGGTGAGGGTGAGGGTGAGGGGGAGCAGGAGGAGGAGGAGGAGGAGGAGGAGGAGGAGGAGGAGGAGGAGGAGGAGGAGGAGGAGGAGGAGGAGGAGGGGAAGAGGAGGAGGAGGAGGACGGCGGCCCTCCAGGATGTTGATGCTCTTCGCGATCGCCACCGCCGTCTTGAGGTAGTCGCCCTCCGCCCCCGCTGGCCGTGCGCGCGGCCGGGGCCTGCTCTCTCTGGCGGTCGCGGGCCGAGAGGATCGGGGCGCGCCTCCCAGCCTGTCGGGCAACGCTCGGGGGGGGGACTGGCTCAGGGGGGAAACATCGACCTGGAATCGGCGATACGATCGTTTCCTTCTTCGTTCACGGTCTTGCCGATAGGCGAGAGGGCCCTCGCACCCCGCCCTTCCCCCCCGCCGTGGAGCAGAACTTGGCGGTTTTTGACGCCTGTTTCAGGCAGGCAGGTGCCGATCGGCGCGGGCCCTCGCACCGCCCCCCCCTCCCCCCCCCCCGTGGAGTAGATCTTGGCTGTTTTTGGCGCCTGTTTCGAGCAGGTGGGGTCTCCCCCATATGACGCACTGCTGCAAACAGTCGCATTCAGCAGAGGTCCAGAGCCAGACCCCTCCCCCTCCCCCCCTTCCTTCCGCCCAATATCGAAACGCCGAATAAGAGAACGTTCACCGATAAATGGGTTGCGGTTTCCGCATGAGGACCCTGCCGCTGGGGTCTTCGGAGGAGGTCCCTGTGGGGCCACGATCCTCGTGAGGGGTGTGCCAAAATGGGTGGCGGTCCCCGCATGCGGGCTCTGCCGCTGGGGCCTTCGGTGGAGCTCCCTGTGGGGCCACGATCCTCGTGAGGGGTGTGCCAAAGTGGGTGGCGCTCCCCGCATGCGGACCCTGCCACTGGGACCTTCGGTGGAGCTCCGTGTGGGGCCACGAACCGTGTGAAGGAAGTGCCCCTCACGTCCCCAAACGGGCTCCCAGCGCATTCGGATTCAACCCGGAGATGTCACAGGCGCAGTTCAGCGCAGGTCAGCGCATGTTGTCTGCGGGTCGCGTCGCTACCTCCTCGGCAGAGTCTCGCGTGTGCTGACCCAAGATGGGCACAACACGGCTCAATGGAGCTCGAAGAAACTTTCCAGAGGACTTCCTTAACCCAGAGCCCTACAGATGCTAGGATTTCAGTGTGCCCGCTTTCTCGGTGTGAGGAAGAAAGAGCCCAAGGCGGCCCCCAGACGGCCCAAGAGTGCCTTCAAAGTGGTTGACGACAACCGATAAGAACACCAAACGGCCCAGGAGAGTCTACAAACGCCCCAAGAAAACCAAAAGAGGGCCTCCCCAACATTCCAATATACTTCCAAATCGACATCCAGGGTCCCCAGACGGTTCTGAGAGGGGGAGTTCGAACTAACATTTGGAGCCCTCAACCCCGATATGATTTCCTAGACCACCCCAAGTCCCCCGAGCGGCCCCTAAGAACCACCCAGGGGACCCTGAGAGATCCCCAGGAGGCCCCAATATGTCCCCGAGTCAAAGCAACAAACAAGTATCCTCAGGGGGCCTCCAAACTTACCCCAAGATGCCTTTCAGAGGCCTCTAGTCAACAACCCTGGTACGGTGGCAGGAATGGGCCGAACGCCACGATACAGACACCTATGTATACACATAAGTGTATATACATCCATATATATATGCATATGTTTGAGCATGCGTATACGTATGTGTATACGTATACGGAGCTGTATATGTATATGAATATTCGTACGTATATGTTTATGTTCTATGTGTAGGTATTTACATATACGTGTGCATCTGTATAATTATACACACATGTGTGTGTATATGTATAAGTACAAGTAGTGCGCCACGTGGGTTGCACTGCAAAGCTCGTCATCGTAGCTTGCACTACATAGATGTGGTTTCCCCGTTCCCACGATGAATAAACTCTATCCCCTGGAGGCCTGGGTTCACGGCACTGCTTCTCGTAACCAACTTATTATCACAACTATTCTGCGCGACTGTCCGCTTCTAGGCTTCTAGTATAACCACGCGCAAGCGACTGGCATCGACGCCCCTCCGCCATCCCTGTTACATAATACCATTCGGGGCCCACGTAGTGATCTCACACGTGCGGCTTGTCAGAACCCGTATCAAATCAACGCCAAGTCGGCCACACGCGCGTGTGCACACATCGAGCTCACCGGTTAAAAGCCGAGACCATGCAGGCCACACGCGCGCGCACGCCTCTTCGCGCGCGCTTGTCGAAACCATTGCACACCCTTTTACTGTTTGGTATTCGTTTCATCATCGAGGTGCTCAAACACACATGAAAAGCACGTGTACTTGTATTATAAGCTTCTGAGGGTGTCTTCGCGCGCGATTCCTCATCGCCCTTATCAGCATCGCCAGCGTCATCATGGCCGCAGTATCGTCATCATCATCATCCTCATCATCCTCATCATCACCACCACCATCATCATCATCATCAGCATCATTCACATCATCATCATCATCATCATCATCATCATCATCATCATCATCATCATCATCATCATCATCATCATCATCATCATCATCATCATCATCATTATCATCATCATCATCATCATCATCATCATCATCATCATCATCATCATCATCATCATCATCATCATCTTCATCACTGCCATCGTCATAACCATCGGCATAAGTCGTCGTCATCATCACCACCGTGGTCATCATCACCATTACCACAATCATAATAACCATCACCGTCACCATCACCATCGTCATCATAATCATCATCGCCATCTTCATCGTCATCATCATCATCACCATCATCGTCATCATAATCATCATCATCGCCATCCTCATCATAATCATCATCGTCATCATCACCACCATCATCATCACCACCATCATCATCGTCACCATCGGAGTCATCGTCAATGTCATCGTCGTTTATGTCGACGTCGTCATCAACGCCATCCCCGTCACCATCGTCCCCGTCGCTGATGCCGTCGTCAGCATCATCACTCGCCCGCCCGAGCCCTCGACCTGTATGATTCGGGTCCTCGTGCCACTGCGCCAGTTGAATGCTGAGACGTTGTGGGTGGCTGGTGAGCGTTTTCTTATTCGGCGTCTCGACATTGGGCGGAAGGGGGGGGAGAAGGGGGGGGTCTGGCTCTGGACTTCTGCTTGCTGCGACTGTTTGCAGCAGGGCGTCCCATGGGGGAGACCCCACCTGCTCGAAACAGGCGCCCAAAACAGCCGAGATCTACTCCACGGGGGAAGGGGGGGGGAGGGGGGGGCGGTGCGAGGGCCCGCGCCGATCGGCAGAACAACGAACAAGAAAAAGACGACCTGGGGGTGTGGTGTGTTTGCTCGAGCGTTGGAGCTGGCAACTCAAAATCCTCCTCCTCCTCCTCCTCCGCCTCCGCCTCCTCCTCCTCCTCCTCCTCCTCCTCCTCCGAAACGTCCTCTGTGTACGCTTCGCTGGGCGTGAAATCCCGCTCCGGAACCTGCCCGCCCCTCGAAAATCCGCGTCCTCTCCAGAATCGGCCCCCCCCCAGCTTTAGGTCGGGCATGTCCCTCTACAGGTGGATTTTGGGCGAAAATCAGAAATGCCCCAGAAAATAACCCAAAACGGTACGAAAATCGTCCCCGGATTATTTTTGGCCTGTTTTGGAATAGTCCTCCTGTAGAGGGACATGCCCGACTTGACCCTCGCTGGCGAGAGCCCCAGCTTCCAAAGCTCGGGGGGGGGGGTCCGAACAGCCCCCCTCTCGTCGGTCGTCGTCGTCGTCGTCGCCGTTTTGTCGGCGAGTCGCCGTTTCTCGGCGCGACGGGCGGGTGGGCGGGACACGGCGCCGTCGTCGTCGTCGTCGTCGTCGTCGTCGTCGTCGTCGTCGTCGTCGTCTTCACCATCGTCCTGGTAATCGTCGTCCTCGTTGTCGTCGCCGTTTGCCGGCGCTGGGCGTCGTCGCCGTCGTCGTCGCCAATACCGCCGCCGCCGTCGTCGCCGTCGTCGTCGTGGTCGTCGTCGTCGTCGTCGTTTTCTCCGTCGTCGTCGTCGTGGGCGAATCCGTCGGGCGGGCGGGCGGGACACGTCGTCGACGTCGTCGTGGGCGAGTCGGTCGGGCGGGCGGGCGGGACCCGTCTTCGCCGTCATCGTCGTCGTCGGTCGTTTGCCGGCGCCGGGCGTCGTCGCCGTCGCCGTCGTGGTCCTCGTCGTCGTCGTCGTCGTCGTCGTCGTCGTCGTCGTCGTCGTCGTCTGCCAGCGCCAGGGGGGGCCCTCTGACGTCCTGCCAGCGAACTCAGAAGACGTTCTCTCTCTCACTCTCTCACAAAGAATCGCACCCCATGGGTTGCACCACATATATTCTTATATATATAACACGGTGCGGATTGCATCCCACAGCTTGGGCAACACAGGTTGCACCACATGGTGCGACTTCCCGCAGCTTGCACAGCATTGCTTGCGCCACGCAGGCTACATGCACGAGATGGACAGCACCACATGTGCTGCTTCACACAGATTGGACCCCAAAGCGTGCACCAAATACTAGCTCAACATCGATCGCTCCCCTAGTTTAACGAACTCCGTAGATTGCTGATGATCTTTGCGCCCCATAGCTTGTAGCACATAAGTTTCACAATGCCCGTATATACCTATATGACCATACGTATGCATGTGTATAAGTATATGTATTTTTATTCACATTTGCACATACTTGTAGATGGAAAACAAAGTAGCATCCCATGTATTGCACCACACACGCTGCGCAACAAACATTGAGTCGTATTGCTGGCGCTACAAATTCTCCCCCCAAACACCGCTTGCACTACAACCGGAAATATGACCAAGAAACTTATCATTCAAGAAACCTGGGCCAACTTCCCAGAAATTTCCGCAAACAAGCATGGGCCAACTTATCATGTAAACGATGCAGGGGCGAACGTGCTCAAGAAGTTGGGCCAGCTTTCCGACAAGTTGGTTCAGAAACTCTGGCCCAGTTCGTAGGGATGATGTTTCTTGACCAGATGCTCGACTGCAAAGGTATGTCGGGCATGTACTCCTACAGGCGGGTCTGGGAGGAGAAATGGTACGCCTTCAACAAAAAAAACCCAAACGTAGTCCACAAAGGACGAAAGATCGTCACCAAACTGTTTCTGGACTGTTCTTGAATCTCCCCCCCCTGGTAGAGGGACGTGCCCGACGCAACTGTGAAGGGCTCTTCGCTGGCCTCGCCTCGCAGGACACCCGGGGGGGCGGGTTCTCAACGCGTCGCCCCGTCTCGCGGCCACCCCGATCGCTGGCTTGGCTTCCCCGAGGTTCTGCCCCCGTGGCCGCCCGTCGCCGCCCCCGTGACCGCGCCCGCTCCACCACGGCCAGGACCGAGGTCGAGAAAACCAGCACTCAAGAGGAGGAGGAGGAGGAGGAGGAGGGGGAGGAGGAGGAGGAGGAGGAGGAGGAGGAGGAGGAGGGGGAGGAGGAGGAGGAGGAGGAGGAGGAGGAGGAGGAGGAGGAGAAGGGAGATGAGGAGGAGGAGAAGGGAGATGAGGAGGAGGAGGAGGACGAGGCGGAGGCGGGATAACAAATATCGCGTTGGGAAGAAGAGGTTGGGAAGATGAAGGGTATGAGCAATAGCATCCGGATGCAATGAGCGATACCTCCGGCCACCTGCGAGCAATGCTATCCTCGATTCTCCCAACCCCATCCTCCCAACCCGATGTCTGCCTTCCTGGATCTGAAAGATCTGGGCCAGCTTTCCGAAGCTTCCTTTCAAGAAAGATCTGGGCCCACTTCCGCCGTTCACGCGGGAGGGGCGAACGTGCTCAAGAAGCCGGGCCGGCTTTCCAGCAAGTCGGTTGAGAAACGCGGGCCCAACTTTTCGGGGGGAAGTTTCTTAATCAGATGCTCGACTCGGATGCTCATTCTGGGGACCTTCCTGGAGACACTCGCTCCGCTCTTGCGCCGAGGCTGCGCCGAACGTCCGTCGCCTTGAGTTGGCCCTGAGTCGAACCTGAGTCGGACTTGAATCGAAACTGACTCGAACTTGAGTCGAACTTGTGTCGAACTGGGGTCGAACATTTTTTTTTCGCGGTCTCCTGTCGCCGCCTCGCGGCCGCTCCTTCGCCGACGTTGCTCCTCTGGAGGTCTCGACCGGTTGCCGCCCATCGCCGCCTCGTGGCCGCCCCGTTTGCTGACTGGGCCCTCCCGCCGCACAGACTGCACCACCGCGATTGCATCACATGCAGGCCTCGGACAAAACTAGCGAACACGCATGCCACATTCGTCGGTCAACGCCTCCCCCTCCCCCCGAATGTTCAAGGTTGGCGGTGGGTCTGACGAGTTGCACTTCGACCGCAGTCTCCCCCGCGCGTGCCAACTTTGAGTTTGGGGGAGCGGGGGAGTGTCCACTAATTGTGCCCCCCTTTCGTAGCTTGTACCGCACATACTGCACTGTATAGCTTGCACTACTTCGCTTGCATAAAATAACTGGGACCATAGGTATATCGCATCACGTAGCCTACAAGTCCAGCTGCGAGACATGGTGTACATCCAATGATCTAGATGATTTGTTAATGTGTGATATGCACCATAGACATATTGCACGGCAACTATTTTTCACCGAGAGTGCAATAAACCGATGTGGGTCCACGCTGGCAGTTCTGGGTGTTTCGGCAGTTTCTCGATTGTTCGAAAATGACTGGGACAGGAGGGAGAAGGGAAGAGGATGAGGGAGGAGGAGGAGGAGGAGGAGGAGGAGGAGGAGGAGGAGGAGGAGGGTTTTGAAGAGAGCAGGGAGGAGGAAGCCGACGGGGATCATGAGGAGGACGAGTACGAGTCGGGTTGAGGATGGGTATGGTGTAGAGATGATGGTGATGAGAAGGAGAAAAGAAAGGAGGACGAGGCGACTCCAGATACTTCTGGGATGCTTCAGGGTGCTCTGGGAGGCTACGTGGGGAAGGAGGGAAAAGGAAGCGGAGTGGAAAGCAGCATTGGGAGGAGGGAGGGGAGGACGGAGGAGGAATGAGGCAAAGGGGAAGGAGTGCGAGGAGGAGGGGGACCAGTAGAAACCCAAGACCCATCAACAATGCTGCAATACACCCTCCCTGCAATTTACCTCTTCATAGGTCCCTACGAAGATTCGTTTCAACTGAAGGAAGTGCCCCGTTGGAAGACAGCCGCGTGAACATTCTGAACCGTAGCAGAACACCATTCTTGGGATTCAACGCCGCGAATCACTATTACTGTTGCGTCCTGACGATCCTGAATCGTGCCAGAAAACCACCCCTGGGACGCCAGCACCGCGAATCACCGTAACTGTTTCGCCCTGGCAATCCTACATCGCGTGATAACACCATTTCGGGGACGCCAATCATACAAACCCTTGACACTGATGTAAGCTCTTGAGACGAATATGCGCGGCGCTGAAGCGAGAGACACATGTTGAAAAGCAATCGCCCTCCATCCTTGACGCTCTTGCAGACATTTGATACGACTACGCGCGGCGCTTGTGCGAGAACCAGATTTTGAAAACCGCCCACCCTGCAATCGTACAGCAGTCGCAAACTTTGAGAACGAAGGTGTGCGGCGCGGAAGCGACAACAGCATTTTGAAGACGGCCCGCCCCCCATCCGTGAAGCTGCTGCACACGTCTGAAACGACTGTGCGTGGCGCTGAAGCGAAAGCCACATGTTGAACAAAAGCGCCGCCCTCCATCCGTGAAGCTGTTGCAGGCAGGGGGCACGAATGTGCCCGGCGCTGGTGCGAGAACCGCATTTTGAAGACCACCCGCCCTCCATCCGTGAAGCGGTTGCAATTTTCAGCGTGGGAGTCACACTTTTGGGAGGGAGTCGCAAGCGACACGCCCAGCCCGTCCGTCTGACACGCCTCGGGGTGCGACGGGGAAGAGTTATTCGTAAGGGAAGGGGATCGGGGGGGAGCGGAAGGAGGAAGGACAAGTAGGCACGAGTAGTGACAAGGGGAGGAAGGACAAGTGGGTCGAGCCTCGCCCCTTCCTCCCGCCCATCCACCCGCCCCTCCGTGATCATGATCACACGGAGGTGGCCGCCGTGGGCGTCGAGGACTGCCTGGTCGACGCCCTTGCGGGCGGGGTCCATGTTGGCCACGAGGCCCACGAGCGTGAGGTCCCTGCGCGGGTCGTCGCCGTCGTCGTCGTCGTCGTCGCGTCGTCGTCGTCGTCGTCGTCGTCGTCGTCGTCGTCGTCGTCGTCGTCGTCATCGACGTCGGAGGGGGCGGGGAGCAGAGGAAAGGGGCAGATCGGGGTGGGGGGTAGGGGGGCAGGAGAGGTGGTGGGGGGGGATGGGGGTCAGGAGGGTCAGGGGGGATGGTGGGGAGGGGGGAGAGGGGATTGGACGAGGAGCGAGGAGGAGAGGGAGGCGAAAAAATGGATAGAGCGGCAAGCAGCTCCATAAGCAAGTGCCACGTCAAGGATGAGTCGCGGACATGCGCGGCAAAGACCAAGACAAGGGCGCACAGCTCGTGCATGCGAAATCGACCCCAGCCTTCGCTGGAGACACCCGCAAAACTGACTCACGCGAGCGCGAGAAGAGGATGCTACCGCGCGTGCGCACGCCCACCGGGACTCGCTGGCGGCAGTCGCGCACTTCCCCCTCACGGGGAAGAGCAACCAAAAAGAGGGGAAGGAGCGATGCGGGGCACGGGGAGGTGAGAACTACTGACGCCAGACCACAGCGCGAGGCTCCACTGGCACGCCGATGCACTAGAGACATGCGAGAAGCCATAACAACTCAAACACCACGCAAAACGGGCCAATGAACTATACGTGCGTATATTGTGCTGGGGTGCCATGTCGAAGGCCGAGGCTGGCCCAGACGGGGAAGCGCAGAGACGGGCAGCCTCCGCGCAGCGTGCACGCCTGGCTCAAGGCGAGGCGCCTATGGGTCCGGAGGCAGGGGGCAAAAGCACATACACAAAGAACAGCCTCGCTCACTACTGGTGAAGCCAGACCGTACAAAGAGCTAGGATGAGGAGAGATCCACGAAGCAAGCACCGGCACGGCGTCACGCGAGCCACCGCTCACCAACCGGTAGGCTCCCAGCGCGAAGTCCATGCGGTTCAGGTACGGGTCCGCTGTGAGGGCTGCGGCGGCCCAGCAGCTGCGTGGCTGTGGTTCGTCGTGCGGAACCTGCTACGTGCACGGGTCTCTGACGTGGTGTTTGGTGAGCCGCTGCTGGCCCCAGTCATGCTGGAAAAGATGCTGCTGCTGCGCACGTAGCCCTACTCCGGTACACATGTGTCATGCAGGTCCCAGTAGTGATGATGAGGCTTGTACTGCTATTCTCTCCTGTGCTGCTGTCAGTGACGCGGGGGTGTTGAGAGTCCCACTCGCTGACGTGCTGGTCGAATAGCCGCAGCTGGACTCAATCGTGCTGGAGAGGCTCGCGTGTCGCTGTCGCCATCGCTGTTGCTGACATCTCTGGTGCCGTTGCCCGTGGTCCCAGCCATAATTCTGGCCACGGTGGTGCTGCTGCTCTCGCTGTGTTGCTGTCAACCGTGTATGAAGTGCTCGTCTGTCTGTTTGTACCACTTGTGGATGTCAGAGCTGTGCTGCTTGTCTGGGGTGTGGTGCTCGTCGCAATACTCCTGCCGCTCGTGATGTCGTGGTCTTCTCGACGTCTGGCGTCATGGTCCTGGTTCCCCAGGTGCTGTGCCCGAGGGTGTGTGCTCAGAGCCTCGTGGGTAGTCGGGGCCAGCTAACATTCTCCGCCAGGGACGCGTGGCTCGTTGCAAAGCTCGTCGCGCTCGCTTTGGTGGACGTCGGAGTCTCGGTGCTGGTGCACCCCTGATGTTGTTCACCGTCGAAGGGCCGGTTCCCGCAATGCTGTTCCGTGCCGTGTTGACGGCGACGTAGCGTCGTGCCGCCGACCCCAGCCGAGATGCTCATTATCGTGATGTTGGGGGCCGCAACAAACTGCGCAAGCGGATGAGAGATGTTACGCCCCGTGGTGCTGCACGCCATCGTGGCGTGGTCCTCGTCGTGCCGATCCTCGCAGTGCCGGTTCTTGGCGGGTGGCACGCCATGCAGGAACGCTGGTGTCGTAGGCCATCGCCGAACAGCGCGGCGCGGTGTGGGTGCCCTCCGTGCTGGCGAGCGCCGCTTGGCGCTGTGGCGTTGCTTCAAGGCAGCGGCGTGTAGTGACGTGGAGTCGGCGCCCGTTGAGATGGCCATCACCGCGCTGCCGAAACCTGAGTCGGTGTGACAAGCCAGCGAATGTCAGGATGGCGGTGCTGCACCCCGTCGTGTCGTTCTCCCTCGCGGGGGAGCAACCGTGAGAGTTGCTTGGTTCTGGGCTGGGGTAAGGAACGCGCCCCTACCCCAATCGGCGGATTGACTGGGAACAATCTGGTCAGAAAGCAATGCCAAGGCGACCGCATGGCGTCATCGCTGCGAACACGGATGGTCAAACAAGGAGCTTGACAGAGATCACCCTCATCAGCATAATCCCACCCGACCATAGTTCGGTGCTCATTGTAAAGCTCTCTCGACTTGCGTCGAGAGGAGAGTGAGGAGAAATGAATATAGCGATGCTGCAATACACCCTCCCGTCCCAAGTCCCCTCCTCATGCGTTGCGTCCATGCCAACCGTCCTTTTCACTACAAGAAGCGTCCCCTTGAAAGACCAACACCGCATGTGCCTGCCATTCATGCGAGAGCCCCGTTGGGAAACGAACTGCCTTGTGTCTTTCTAGCTGGTAGTGCGGGATGCGAAAAAAGGTATGATCATACAGTTCACTGAGGCGTCCCGCGAGATCCCAGTTGTGAACAGTTAACCTCAATTCACTGAGGTGTCCCGCGAGATCCCAGTCGTGAACAGTTAACCTCCCTCAGTCCGTGTGGCTGCTGCACGGGTGTACGGTTCTGGTCATGCGTTTCGAGGAAGTCGCAGACGATAACCCACGTTTGAAAAAAGGCGCCGCCCTCCACCCGTGCAGCGGCTATATATATATATATATATATGTATATATATATATATATATATACACAGTCGGGGGCTTGACCTAAGGAACCCAAAATAAGGCACGAGGCCCCTTTTTTTCCATGAGTTAAACTTCGATTTCTGATCGAACACATAAGGGAAACCTGAGGCAAGCTGCGAAACACTTGAGGAACGCGGAGCCCCTCCCCAACGAAAAGGGTTCCTTTTTCAGGGCCCCGACTGTATATTCAAACTTGTGGTCTGCAGGTTTTGAGGCAGTCTCTGGCGAGATGCCGATTCTGAAAGCAGTGCCGCCCTCAGTCCCCGTCACGCTTGCACCGTTTCACAAAAGGCTGCGCGCGGCGCCGAGGAGATGGCTCCATTTTGGAAACGACGCTCCTCCGTCCTGTGGACCGTTGCAAGCTGAATTAGCGCGGCACTAAAGCGGCAACTCCTTTTTGAAAACGATCCGTGCAAAGGTTGGACTTTTCAAGCCTCTGGGCAATACATGGTAAAGAAGTCGGAGGCGAAACGTCCGGCCCGCCGTACCGACCCGTCTGGTGGTCAAACAAGCAGCAAGCATTCATGAGGAAAAGGGATGTAGGAGACGCCTGGATGGGGATGGATGGGATGGGGATGGGATGGATAGGGATGGAGGTGAGGAGGAGGAGGAGAAGGAGGAGGAGGAGGAAAAGGGATGGAGGGGATGGGGATGGAGGAGGAGAGGTGAGGAGAGGGGGTGGGAGAAGCAGGGCCCAGAGACGCCAAGAGCGACCGTGCGCAGGAGAAGCCTGTCTGGCGGCGGGGCCGAACCGGCTGCGCGCTGCAGCTTTCGTCCCGCCCCCCCCCTTCGTCTCGGCGGTGGACAAGCCTCCCTTTCGTAAACCTCCCTTTCGTGAAAGCGGCCCAGGACCGCCACCGACGGACCTGGACCCGCAAAAATGACGGACGCGACGTCCTCTCGCGAACCGAAAACGGCCAATTCGCTAATCGACGTGTCTGGAAGAATAAAGAAACCACATAAACATAAACTTTTGGCGCTCCGCGCGGATTTCTTGGATTCGCGCTGGACCCCCCTCTCTGGCGCGCGGAGCGCGCCAGGGGCGGCGCCGGAGGCGCCGCCGGGGGGGGGCCAGGCGCGGATCCAAGAAATCCGCGCGGAGCGCGAACCATATACTAAGATGGGGTTCTTGTTATTACTTGGACGCCTCCTACTCCCTCTTCTTCTCCTCCCCTCCTCTCGGCCTTACTCATACTCAGACTTACCCATACCCAGACTTACTCATACACAGACTTACTCATACTCAGACATACTCATACTCAGACCTACTCATACTCAGACTTACTCATACCCAGCCGACCACATACACAGACTTACTCATACGCAAACTTACTCATACCCATACTTGCTCATACCCAGACGTAGTCATACACAGACTTACTCATCAACAGACTTACTCATACTCAGACCTTCTCACAATCAGACTTACTCATACGCAGACTTATTCAACACACAGAAGATTCGGAGTATGTCTGAGGCGTGGCGCTGGTTTCAGCACCCCAGAGGGGAGCCGCCGCGGGTGTTTTCACGGGCCCGTTCGCGGCCAGTTTGTGGGATGTCTCAAGCGGTTTGGTTGTTTTGGTGGGCAGACTCGTCTGCGTTTAGAACAGTTTGTGAGGATGTCTCAGGCGGGGCGCTGGTTTCAGCACTCCTAATGGGTTCCGCCAGGGGTGTTTTCACGGGCCCGTTCGCGGCCAGCTTGTGGGGATGTCTCAAGCGGTTTGGCTGTTTTGGTGGGCAGACTCGTCTGCGTTTAGAACAGGTTGTGAGGATGTCTCAGGCGGGGCGCTGGTTTCAGCACCCCTAAGGGGCGCCGCAAGGGGTGTTTTCACGGGCCCGTTCGCGGCCAGTTTGTGGGGATGTCTCAAACGGTTTGTCCGTTTTCACGCCCAACATCCTTGGCTTTCAGAACAGATTTCGAGGATGTCTCAGGCGGGGCGCTGGTTTCAGCACCCCTGAGGGGAGCCGCCAGGGGTGTTTTCACGAGCCCGTTCGCGGCCAGTTTGTGGGGATGTCTCAAGCGGTTTGGCTGTTTTGGTGGGCAGACTCGTCTGCATTGAAAGCAGTTTGTGAGGATGTCTCAGGCGGGGCGCTGGTTTCAGCACCCCTAATGGGCGCCGCCAGGGTTGTTTTCGCGGGCCCGCGCGCGTCCAGTTTGTGGGGATGTCTCAGGCGGTTTGTTGTTTTCATGCCCAACATCCTTGGATCAGATTTTGAGGATGTCTCAGGCGGAGCGCTGGTTTTAGCAGCCCTAAAGGGAGCAGCCAAAGGTGTTTTCACGGGCCCGTTCGCGGCCAATTTGTGGGGATGTCTACGGCGGTTTGTTCGTTTTCATGCCCATATCCTTGGCTTTCAGAGCAGATTGTGAGGATGTCTCAGGCGGGGCGCTGGTGTCAGCACCCCTAAGGAGAGCCGCCAGGGGTGTTTTCACGGGCCCGTTCGCGGCCAGTTTGTGGGGATGTCTCAAGCGGTTTGTCCGTTTTCATGCCCAACATCCTTGGCTTTCAAATCAGACTTTGAGGACGTCTCAGGTGGGGCGCTTGTTTCAGCACCCCCAAGGGAGCAGCCAAGGGTGTTTTCACGGGTCCGTTCGTGGCCAGTTTGTGGGGATTTCTCATGCGGTTTGTCCGTTATCATGCCCGACATCCTTGGCTTTCAGAGCAGATCTTGAGGATGTCTCAGGCGGGCCGCTGGTTTCAGCACCCCTAAGGGGCGCCACCAGGGGTGTTTTCACGGACCCGTTCGCGGCCAGTTTGTGGGGACGTCTCAGGCGGTTTGCATCGTTGGCTTTCAAAACAGATTTTGAGGATGCCTCAGGCGGGGCGCTGGTTTCAGCACCCCTAAAAGGAGCCGCCAGGGGGTAGGACACGGGCCCGTTCGCGGCCAGTTTGTGGGGATGTCTCAAGCGGTTTGCTCGTTTATCATGCCCGACATCCTTGGCTTTCAGAGCAGATTTTGAGGATGTCTCAGGCGGGGCGCTGGTTTCAGCACCCTTAAGGGGAGCCGCCAGGGGTGTTTTCACGGGCCCGTTCGCGGCCTTTTGAGGAGGGGGAATGAATGGGAGGCTCATGTTCAATCATACTCAAAGCTCACTCTGACTCACACTCACTCACTCGCATCAGGATTCACTCGTCTTCGTCGGCCCTGTCGCCCACGTGGACGCGCTATCATAGTCAAGCGCTCCTGAACAGACGCTCACTATGGCATGACATAAAACATAAGATACACACGTGGGGAGCTCCACGTAGTGAGCAATATGTATGTGTTCCTGTTTTTCTTCGACGTGTCAGCGTAGGGGGTCTACCAACCTCCGATCGTCCTCTCCGAAATCCCAGACCCGTTCAACGTAAGTCCCCGGAGGCCCCTCCCAGGGTCCCTCCCGGCAGCTGCCGCCCCGGATCGATGTCCGACGGCCCGGGTGCCCGACTTCGAGCCCCCCCCAGGGGCCGAACACACAGGAAATTCCCTGGGAAGGGGACTCAGTGGCACAGGTGTGTGTGTGGGGAGGAGGAGGAGGAGGAGGAGGAGGAGGAGGAGGAGGAGGAGGAGGAGGAGGAGGAGGAGGAGAAGGAGGAGGAGGAGGAGGAGGAGGAGGAGGAAGCATCGAGCACGATTCGCTGGATCTCGAGCTCGTCGACCGCTGCGCCCCCCCCCCTCCCCCAGGTAGACGCTCCACGCTCGAGCAGAGGGCAGAATAACCACCCTCATAACAAGCACCCCGACAAACGAAGGCGTTTGGCGAAACGGACGTAAAGAAGGTATCGAACAGGGCAGGGCCCCTTAGTAAGCGCCCAGGACTGTTTAGGAAGCGCCAGCTCTGGGGGTCGGGGTGGTTTATCCTCCCTCGAACGAGGGCGGGGGGGGTGTCTGGCTTGAGGAGCACGTCCAGCTTCTGCTCGGCGCCGAAGTCCTCGTCGGCCGGGTCGAACCCCAGGGACTCGCGGGCGCGGGCGCGCGCCGAGGGGGGCGGCGGCCCAGGAGGAAGGGAGGGATAGAGCCAGACCCCCTCGCAAGACGCAACATATTCGCACTCCCGAGGCCAACATGCCTCCAAGACGGCCCAGGATGGCTCCAAGACGGCACAGTGCGACCTCAAGACGGCCCAGGATGTCCCCGAGACGGCCCAAGAGGCCTTCGAGACGTCCCAGGAGATCCCTAAGCGCCTTGCGAAGAGGGCCTCGAGAGGCAAACATCAAAGCCTGTTCGCACAACTCTTCAATGTTTTCGGGGTTCTCGCCTTTTCGAGCTTCCGACGTCCCAAAAGGCCCCTCAAGAGAACCCCAAGAGGGCCGAAGAGGCCCCCGAGATGAGCCCAAGACGGTCCAAGAGGGCTCCAAGACGACCCAAGAGGCGCCCAGGACTGCCCAAGAGGGCCCCCAAACGAGCTCAAGAGGGGCCCAAGAGGGCCCCTGACTGGACCAAGATGGGGCCCCGTGGCCCCCCAGAACTGCCCCACAGGAGGCCAAGACAGCCACAAGACGGCCCGAACGAGTTCCATGATGGCTCCCCAACTAGTGAAGACGAACGGTGTGACATGTGACTGTCTTACTCTTCCTCCTCCTCCTGCTCCTCCTCCTCCTCCTCCTCCTCCACATCATCCTCATCATCCTCATCTTTATCTTCCTCCTCCTCTTCCTCCTCCTCCTCCTCCTCCTCATCATCATCACCACCAGGGTCGTCATCATCATCATCATCATCATCATCATCATCATCATCATCATCATCATCATCATCATCATCATCATCATCATCATCATCATCAACATCAACATCAACATCAACATCATCATCCTCATAATCATCATCGTCATCATCATCACCAGCATCGGCATCATCATCACCATCACCATCATCACCATCATCATCATCATCATCATGCTTCTCATCATCATCATCATCATTACCATCATCATCATCATCACCGCCACGACCACCATCATCATCATCATCATCATCATCATCATCATCATCATCATCATCATCATCATCATCATCATCATCATCATCATCATCATCATCATCATCAATCTCATCATCATCATCATCATCATCATCATGATCATCATCATCACCATCATCGTCATCACCACGACCACCATCATAATCGTAATCATAATAATCATAATCACGATCATAATCATAATCATAATCACCGTCAGCAGCATCATCATCATGGTCAACGTGACGATCATGATCATCATTACTCTCGCCATCGTGATGGTGATGGTGATGGTGATGGTGATGGTGATGATGATGATGATGATGATGATGATGATCATCATCATCATCACCAACACGGCTCCCCAAGCCTGGTGTCACGAGGCGTCACCCGTGACGGCCTCTGGTACCTTCGAGCAGTCGCCGCCCAGAATGCTGGGCTGGCACGGTGGCGGAACTTGCCATGCACAAGCAACTGGGGAATTCCTCCCTGTCGCGCCCCCCCAGGCGTGTTGGTAGGGCGGGCTGGGCGTTTCGCCTGAGATTCTCTCACCCCTCATGATCCCGAAGCTTGCGATGTGCGACGGTCTCCCTGTTAAAGCAGTGCTCTCGCCTTAGCGCCGCGCGCGTTCGTCTTAAACCTTGGCAGCAGTTTCACCGACGGAGGGAGCTACTTTTGAAAATGTGACTGTCGCTTTAGCGCCGCGCACATTCGTCTTACAGCTCTTCATCGAGCATCACGGATCACATGCGGATGGTTTTGACATGTAGCTCTCGCCATAGCGACGCGCACCTTCGCCTTACAAGTTTGATTCAGATCCACGGATGGAGCACACGTCGTTTTCAACATGTGGCTCTCGCCTTAGCGCCGCGAGCAATCGTTGCAAATATCTGCGGCAGTTTCAAGGATGGAGCGCAGGTCGTTTTCAAAGTGTAGCTGTCGCCTTAGCAACGCGAATATTGATTACAAGAGCTTGCTGCGTTTTCGAAGATGGGGCACACATCGTTTTCAAACTGTGACAGTCGTCCTATCGCCGCGCACACTCGTCTGAACAAGTTCGCAGTGGTTCACGGATGGATGGGTGGGGGCCGTTTTTGAAAGAAGGCTCTCGCCTCAGCGCCGCGCACCCTCGTCCTAGACGGTTTGCATCCGTCTCACGGCTGGGAAGAGGGGGACGCTTCCGATGTGCAGCTCTCGCCGGAGCGCCGCGCACATCCGTCTTTAACAAGCCTTGCAGCAGCTTCACGGATGCAGGGGCTTCGTTGAACATGTGGCTCTCGCCTAAGCGCCGCGCGCATTCGTTTCAACATTCACAATCACTCCGGGGACGAACTTCTTCTGTTTGGAAATGTTGGTCTGGCCCCGCTGCCGCGCACATTCAGATTAAAGGCTTGCTCTAGCTTCGCGGATGCAGGGTGGCTGCTTTTCGCTTTGCAAAATGGGGCTCTCGCCTCTGCGTCGCGCGCGCTCGTTTTTAACGCACCGTTTCGAAAGCTGGAGAAAGGCCATTTTTGCAAAATGGAGTTCCTGCCGGGAACTTCGTGAAGTTGGACCCAGAACTTCAACGCACGTAGCACTGCACGGATCCATGGCGGCTCTGTTTCAAGCTGGAGCTGTCGCAGAAGACTTCCCTATTCGTGATCACCGAGGAGAGCTTGCGCAACAACTACACGGACAGGGGAGCGGTCCTTCTTCGAAATTGGTCCGTCGCTGGACGCCTCGTCGAACTGTCTGGCAACTTTCCCCAATCAGAGCTTGCCTCTGTAGGGGTCCTAGCGGATTCATATGGTTAGGTTAGGTTTGTCGCCAATTTTCGCTGCACGCCCGGGTGCCGGGGTGCCCGGGGGTGCCCGGGGGTGCCCGAGGCCCGGGTGCCCGGGGGGTGCCCGGGGGTGCCCCTGGGGTGCCCAGGGGTGCCCGGGTGCCCCGGTGCCCAGGTGCCCGGGTGCCTGGGCGTGCCCGGGGGTGCCCGGGGGTGCCCTATAGCACTAAGCCCTATAGCCCTATAGCCCTACAGCCCAATAGCCCAATAGCCCAATAGCCCTACAACTCTATAGCCCTATAGCTCTATAGCCCTATAGCTCAATAGCCCTATAACCCCCTAGCCCTATAGCCCTGATGGTTTTTTTCTCCGGTATCATTTCTTCCGCGTTCCTGACAACGCGCCAGAAATATGCAATGCAATCAAAATGGGGGGCCCTGGCCAAAAGGGAGGTCCAGCTGGGCTGGTCTTTCAATGAGGGCGCTTCATGCAATGAAGAGGCAGATTCCTGTAGGGAACGGGGCGGTGTAGTGCAGCATCGCTTATGCATCTTTAGCTTACTCTGGTCCTCCTCCTCCTCCTGCTCCTCATCACTCCACCTTCCCCGTCCCCCTTCCTCATCCCCCTGTTCTCCCCATTCTCACCTTCCCCCCCGCCCTCTGGAGATGGGCGGCACTCCAGCCTGGACAGGGAAGGGCGGAGCGCGGTCGTCTCCGCGCCGTGCGGGTGACCCGGACAAGCGGCGGAGGCGAGAGGGGGGGGTCGGGCGGGGGCGGCCACAGGGAAATGCACGCGGCTGTCCACAAAACAGATGCGAGCGGATCACCTTGAAGGCGGAGGAGGAGAAGGGGAGGAGGATGAGGAGGGGGAGGGGAGGGGGAGGAGGAGGAAAAGGAAGAGGAGGAGAAGGTGGATGAGGAGGAGGGGAAGGAGGAGGAGGAGGAGGAGGAGGAGGACGAGTGTAAACACAAGAGTCATCAACGATGTTGTCATAAACCCTCCCTCCAAGTTCCCTCTTCATGGGGTCCTCCACGACTTGACTTACACTGTGGGAGAAGCCCCATTGGAAGACAACCGTCTGATAATCCTCACTCGTGCCAGCATACAATTCCTGGGACTTCAGCGCCGCGAATCAACGTTATTGCTGCGGCTTGACAATCCTAAAGCGTGCCACAACACCGTTCTTGGGACTGCAGCGCCGCGGACCAACGTGACTGTTAAGTCCAGACTGTCCCGAACCATGCCAGAACACCATTCCTGTGACTCCATGCGAACCCTTGAAGCAGCTGCACAGTTTTAGCACGACTGTGCGTGGCGCGAATGCGAGAACCACATTTTGAGAGCGAGCCACCTTTCACTCTTGAAACTGTTGCAAACTTGTGACACGACTGCGCGCATCGCTAGGGCAATATCTACGTTTTGAAAACTGCCCGCCCTCTATCCGTGACGCTGCTGCGAACTTTGAAAAATAACGTGCGCGGCTCGAGGGCGACAGCCACATGTTGGAAAAAGCCCGCCCTCGATCCATGAAACTGTTGCGAACCTTTCAGGACGAATGTGCGCGTCGCTACGGCGAGAGCTACATTGTGGACTGCCCGACCTCCATTCCTGAAGCTCGAAGCTGTTGCATGCTTTTGAAACGAATGTGCGCGACGCTAACGCGAAAAAACACATTTTGAAAACGATCCACTCTCCATCCGTGAAGCTGTGAATTGCAATTTTCGCGATCACAATTGATCAAGAAGTCTCAGGCGAAACGCCCAGCCCGCCCTACCAACACGTCTGCGGGTGCGACAGGGAGGAACGGTTTAAGGAAAAGGGGTGGAGGAGGAAGACGGGGGGGAGGAGGACGACGAGGAGAACGAGGAGAAAGAGGAGTGGGTGGAGGAGGAGGAGGAGGAGGAGGAGGAGGAGGAGGAGGAGGAGGAGGAGGAGGAGGAGGAGGAGGAGGAGGAGGAGGAGGAGGAGGAGGAGGAGGAGGAGGAGGAGGAGGAGGAGAGGAGGAGGTGAGGAGAGAGAGGGAGAAGGAGGAAGGAGGAAGGATAGGAGGAGGAGGAGGCGGCGACAGACAACCGCACGCGGCCACTCACAAGACAGGTGCGAGCGGATCCCCTTGCCGTGTGGCGGGGGTGGGGTTTGCTTTGGCGTCTCGCTGCCCTCCTCGTCCGAGCCCGGGCGGCCGCCGCGCGGTGAAGCGGCACGCGGCCGCCCAGACGAGCGGAGCACGAAGAGGAACGGG